GAATATGCATAGCATTGGAGTTTGAATCCCCATCTTCATATCTTTACTTCCAATTTAAAGAAAATGGCGCAGCTAGAACTCTTGGGCTTTGATAGAGTCCTGAAATAATTACACTGCACTCAGCAAACTGTAATGCAAATTGATAGACTGAAATAGTTCTCTAGTATTCCTTTGCTGAAATTGATTACAAAGAAACAAACATGTTAAAGGAAATATAGATTTAGAATGCAAGATAACAGAAAATAAAAGGGATGGACGTTCGAGAGGTCCACTACTCTCCCATGTGACTACCAAATTCTGCCTGCCTTTCCATAGCACCAACCCTCCATTTATAAGTGGTTTTGCCTCTCAGTTACTCCTAACAGAATCCATAACCGTGCCCTTGCTGCATGTGCCCTCCTCTCCTTGGTTAATTCCTTTACTACCCTTGTTATTTTTCTTGCGTCTCTGGTATGTTATCCAGATTCCAGGTCTATCAGGCTTCTATCCTGAGAAATTTTACATGCTGTTTATTGACATCAAATTTTATCTCTCCTTTTTTTTTTTTTCCTCCTCTAAACAGAGATGATATCAATAGATGTACCCTTTCGTTTTATCTAAAGAGGTTAAGACTTTATTTAGCCTCTGTTTGGCAAATTTATAAATCAATTTATAAAAGGGAACAAACGAGTAGTAGTTATAAGTATATGATTGGAATTAACGGCTTTGACTGAATTCATATATCAATTTATAAATTGTATCCAAATGGAGGTTAAACGTATGTCTTCAAAAGATATTCTCAAAGAGTTGTTTCTATGCTTAGGTTTATCGGTAATTTGGATCTTTGTGGCCAACAAGTGAACAAGCCTTGTCGAACTTCACTAGGATTCCCTGCTGTGTTACCTCATGCTGAAAGTGATCAAGCTGCAGGTACTTGTTCAATGATTAAAAAAATAGGAACTTTAGTGGGTTCCTGTTTTAGTCCTCGCATTGCTATCCAATTTATGTTGTCTTTTTCCATGTAACTAAAAATGTTAACTTCTGAATTGTTGCTACAGTTCCTACTAAGAGGTCCTCCCGCTATATCAAAGGAGCAGTAATTGGTGCAATGTCCACGTTGGGTTTTGCATTAATTTTGCTCCTTGGTTTTTTTTGGGTACGGTTGCTGACCAAGAAAGAAAGGGCAGCAAAGAGATACACAGAAGTTAGGAAACAAGTTCATCAAGAACCAAGTAACCTTTATGCTTCAAATCTTAAAACATTTTCTCATTTTTACTTAAAATTCACTATTTTTTTATGATAATTCATCAGGTGCCAAGCTTATCACCTTTCACGGAGATCTTCCATATCCATCCTGTGAACTCGTGGAAAAGATTGAATCTCTTAATGACGAAGATGTCGTTGGGGCTGGAGGATTTGGTACTGTATACAGAATGGTTATGAATGATTGTGGTACGTTTGCGGTTAAGAAGATTGACCGGACTCGTGAAGGTTCGGATGAGGCCTTTGAGAGAGAATTGGAGATCTTGGGCAGCATCAAGCACATCAATCTGGTCAATCTTAGAGGATACTGTAGGCTTCCCAAGGCAAAGCTTCTTATCTATGATTACTTGGCTATGGGTAGCTTAGATGATTTACTGCATGGTACATTTCTTCTCAGTCTACTACGTGTCTTTTTTCTTTTTTAAGGGTAAATTACTAAGGTTGATTTTTTAGCAATATTTTCTTAATATAAATAAGTTTTTTGGTTCATATGAGCTTACCAGTTTTATAATTTATTCCTCAGCACGTGTAGATGACCGGATCTTGAATTGGAATGCTCGTTTAAGAATAGCCTTTGGTTCTGCTAAGGGATTGGCATACCTACACCATGACTGCTGTCCAAAGATTGTTCATCGTGATATAAAATCTAGCAACATACTCCTTGATGAGAACCTCGAGCCTCATGTTTCAGACTTTGGTCTTGCAAAACTATTGGTTGATGAGGATGCTCATGTCACAACTGTAGTTGCAGGCACATTCGGCTATTTGGCTCCTGGTTTGTGCTTTATCTTATTATGGACATTCTATCGTCTTGATCATCAGTTCACTTGTTTCTGCTTCATTCTCAGTCAAGATGTTGATTGGAGTTTATTAGTTCTAAAGATCCATACAAACAACAAATCCTGCTATCCCTCTTAAGGAGTAGACGATTCTGTGTCTCCTTTTTTAACATCTGTTAAAATTTCCAAGAAATCATCACTGAGCGTTAGACTGACCAAAATTTTTGTTCTTTCACATGACACAGAATACTTGCAGAGTGGAAGAGCAACAGAAAAGTCAGATGTCTATAGCTTCGGAGTTCTACTGTTGGAACTTGTAACTGGAAAGAGGCCGACTGATCCTTCTTTTGTAAAACAAGGATTAAATGTCGTTGGCTGGGTATATATGCTCACTTCAATTGCATTTCTAGGCTTCACCTATTACATACTTATTGACTGATAACAAAATTCGCAGATGAATACATTACTGAGGGAGAATCGGATGGAAGAGATCATGGACAAAAAATGTCGGAATGCTGACGTGGAGACTATAGAAGCAATCGTAGAAATAGCAGCAAGATGCACTGATGCAAATCCGGATGATCGTCCTACAATGCAGCAGGTACTGCAGTTTTTGGAGCAAGAGGTCATGTCACCTTGCCCTAGTGACTTCTATGAATCTCATTCAGATAAATCTTGATTTCGTGTTATTCCGCTAAATGGTATCAGAACATCCACTACTTGCGGATATTGTCAGTCCCCAGTTGTCCCGTCGGTTGTATATTACGTTCACTTGAATTGTGGATGAGCATTGTCTAAATCAATTTTGTACACTGTTTGCCATTGTTTACTCGTATCAAAATTAATTTGATGCAAAGAATGATGTTAATATTTACTGATACGAGTACAACCCTTCTGCAAAATTACAGCAATAGATTTTAATTTCATCACCAACATCTTGGGAGCTTGCCCCATCAAAATTTAAAATTCTCCTTCAAGTAGCTTACAATCTCTTGCTGACAAGAAAATAACCAGAGAAATAGATTAATATGTATTAATCAAGATTACAAATAATTATCGATTGAACAATATAATAAACGAGATGAAATGGTGGCTTTTCGACAAAGATCAGTAGAATTGATAATGAGAAGATGAAGGCAAGACGAATAAACTTACAATTAAACAGAGGATAATGCATGCAGCAGCACCAGGGAACAAAGAGTACCAAAAATTCAAATGATGAAGCTTAGCTCCATCGATGAACAGTAATGGCAAGCTTGCAGCTGCAAATCAATAATACATAAGACTAGCAATATCAATATGCAGACCATCAGCATCAATGAAATATGTTCATATAATGAGAAATTCGTAATTGATTACCTGGAGGATGTACTGCACGAGAGAAAATCATGAAGGCTAAGGCCGCGGAAAGGGCTGCACTCCTAGCTAGCCAAGCTGGACCGAATATTGAGAATGCCAGAACACCAATAGCTGCACAACCAATTTGAGCCACAAATATGTTGTATTTCTGCAACGTTGCAGCAGTCGGACTTTAATGGCCCATCCATTTCAAAGAAAGTACATATAGATACGAGAAAACAATAGATATGTAGAACAGAGATATAAAATTGGCTCCAAATTTATTGATAACATAGTTTGTTGCTATAAAATTGGATGCAAAAAAATGTTTTATGATGCAGACGCTTGGTCTTAAAACATAAACCTCATGGCCAGACCTTTTATGATCAATTGAAGACCTTGCAGCCAAATGCTATGAGACTAAAATAAAGTCCACAAAAGCGGTGAGATTCAGAGATGAATGTTTATTACGACATTAATATTGGGAATTCATTTTTAATCTCCATCTTCATAACACATGCAAAATTATGTGAGCTGATAATTCTCAACTCCACCAAATTTCGAAGACTGATACACCAATTTATATGGTTCGGATCAATGAAGCCTACATCCATGTGAATCTATTATAAACGGGGAGATTATAAGGACTTTCCCTTTCATCTCACACAAATTCGCACACAACATATCCTAGGTTATAATGATGAATGAGACATGGAACTATCTTAGGTTGTCTAAGCAATGACTCGGGGTCAAACTACGTGGAACAAAGTTAGACATATGCGACCCGGTGAACTAATGAGAAAAACCACAATGCAGTGTTGATATGAAGGCTAGAAAATCTTCCTAAGAAAATTCAGGTAAATTTAGCTTTCATCAGGAGAATTTACCATAGACAGTCTGATCACATTCCAAATTTTAAGTCTAAGACGCTAGGAAATGACATTTTATAGTCATATGAATTACATGAACATAGAACTATTCTTATATGGTATTTCTTGTGTAGTTTCTAGCAGGACGAAGAGACGTCACAGAATGTGTACCCTGGCACCCGGAGATGAGGGAGTGGCAAAGAGGACAGCACAAACCGCACCCAGCGGAGCAACTGTCATGGAAATCCCTTTTGGTGCCAACAATTGATCAATCTTTCCTAGTATAGCCATCGCAGCAAATGCCCCTGTTTATTGTAACCAACACCATAAAATGTTTGAACGATTATATCCAGTGCTGCACATAGTTTCAAAACTAAAACAAAACGAATCTTTATATTACTTTAAATTTGTAAAAGTTTAGTGATAAGCTCAATCTTAACATGTAAACATTTGCTTAGAATCACTTAAATTGATTATTAAAACTTGACTAAGTAGTTGACTTTGCTGGCCACATTGAATGTTCCACCAGATACAACAATGAACCCATATAAGATAGCATAACATCATTTATACTGCCACTCAGATTTATCAAAAACAAGCTTAGTTCAAACTCTTTAACTCAAAAACTTTATTAGACTCATTTACAACTGTAAAAGCTGTCTAAAAGAAAGTCATGTTTTCTTTTAACTTACCTATTTTGCCACACACAATTTGTCAACTCTTGAAGTTTCTCTTTCGCTTGTAAAATTTACATTTAATTTTTTAGAAAAGTAAATTTCAAGCCCAACAAAACTATCAAAAAAGGTAAATTTTACACTATGGATCAAGAGAATTACACATATTACAATTGTAAAATTAAATTAAATAACATAATCGTGATTCTTACTGAGTCTAACCTGCAGAAGGCCAAAAAATTTCACTAAGAGAAGGAGCTTTAGAACCCTTATCGGGTACCCAGCCATCCCAAACTGGTGCAGCCACATTACTCGACGATGCAAGTACTCTCAATTTCCTTTTTCTAAATCCCTTTTCTGTTCTAAGCCCAATGGTCTTTGCAGAATTACAAGAAGATCTTAATGAATTCAATGGAGAAAATCTGTACAGTGATGGCACAAGTGCTCGTGGCAAAAAGATCTGGATGTGGGCATTACTCGCATGAAGCTGCACACCCATTTCTTCAGTCTTTTATCAATTCCGGCAATAATATCGTATTTGGAGTATGTCTATGATATAAGAAGTCGAAGACATGGCAAAGCAGTGGAATTATGGACCCTTGGAAAGGTCGAAAGGTCAGTTGGGATAAGGGGACAATACGTTAGATTATAAAATTCCTAGCCACTATTCTATTCTATTCATTATTTATTTCTTTTTCCCTCTTTGAAACTTGAAGGGTTTGCTGGCTAATAGACTATACTTTTGTATTTGGCATGTTTGACTAAGCTTAAATATCTACTTATAATTAAAAGTAAATGTTAAGATAATTATTTGAGCCTTGGAGAGTAAATGTTAAGACAATTATTTAAGCCGTCCAAGTCGTGAGGATTCAAGATATCTATTTTAATGCCTACTTAGATCTCGAGTGATTAAATAAGATGTATAGGAACTATTAAAAGTCGTATCAAAGATTGGCTACAATGAATGTCTTAGCGAATGTGAGAGGTCCTTCACCACTTGAGTTGTACTTGCACGTGTGATTCTTCGGTTGGTGGTGCTAGTGGAAGCTATCCATCTCAAGATCTTACATTGGAGCTTAATATGAAATTTTATTTTCTTACTGAGTGAGTTCAAATAGCTTCTAAGTAAGGTCCATTCATTTCTTAAACCATACCCAATGAGGATGAGAGAATGGTGATCAAAATTTTTGATCAATAAACCAAGAGCTTACCACGAAACCTCCGCTCCCCTTCTCTTTTTTATGAATAATAAATAAGCTCTACTCTTTAAGAGGTCACTCTTTGATAAGAAAGGAAGAGTAATAAATCGAATTATTGTTATTCTAGTTACAAGTATAGCACATCTATCAAAGCAAAGCAAGTCTAACAATCCAACCTAGAGTTTTTTGAGGTCAAATTTTGATCCAAATATTATATCATATTGATGACGTTGAAAAATAAATAAGTTATATATTTTAAAAATAATTTTTATTTTATTATAAAAATTCGTAACATTTTTTGCTTATAAATTATAAAAAGTAACATAAAACAAATAAGAGTTTCTAATCTTAAAATATGAAACTATCAACATGATTTATTAACGTCATTTCCCACCCTTTGTGCGTCTTACGTATGTAAATTTAAACAAGTCTTATACTCTAAAAATAATGTGGTTAGGGGTCTAAACACGTATGTTGAAGTAACTTATGAGGGACTATCGACTTAAATACTATATTCGTTAAATTATGAGAGTGCCATGCTTTTGTCAAAATAATTACTATACATTTTTAAAATGGCATTTGGATAGATGATTCCTGTTTCTTTTGAAATAGTTTATTTGATGATAACGATGATGATGATCGATGAAATGGTTATTAAAAGAAGAAGAAATGCACCCAATATATCCTTCTCATGATGTTGACAAGAAGTTGACTATGTTGAGAATTAGAGATCTAACTCTATATCACGGAAAGCAATAAAATTACATAACGAAGATAAACACACGGAAGATTTATAGAAGTTCGTCTCATGTGAAACTATAATTCGCTATGCTAAAAAGAATTTTAAAAAAGAAAAATTCCACACTGTTTTCTATAGCTCTCTCTCTCTCTCTCTCTCTCTCTCTCTCTCTCTCTCAATTGATAATATATGTAAACCCTAATGACGACTCCCTATTTATAAGAAAAATTATAGTAATAAGTATGTAAACTCTGAAGTTGATAGGCATACGAAGTCCTCACAATCAGGGGCGGAGCCAAGAAATTCTTTCAGTTTTTTGTCATCGATTTAATGATGAAAAAAATATAAAACAATTTACAAAAATATTAAAAATGACATAGTTGATAAGTTACACTTATTCCTTGCGAAATTGTCATACTTTGATATCATTGTACAATAATTTCATTATCAATCTTAAAAAATGTATCTCATTAAAAAAATATTGAATTTCTATGATAGGATGTATTGCCTTTTTGTCTTACAAAAAACTTGAATATCTCGTTGTTACATAAAAACTCTATCAAAGATGGGAAGATAAAATTTTGATCGGTCATATTGCAAGTGCTTATTACACTTATCTTTAGCATACTAATTCAAAAATAATGGCAAGTGAACTTTCACTTATTCATGCACAGATAAGTGACTAAGAGTGACAAAATAGTTTATTTTTCAACAGTGAAAAGAAGATGAAGCTGTCTATGAATACGAAACAGCAAAGTTTATATTTAGAAATATGAAAAATGAATCAAATTATCTAAATAAAGCTCTCCAAAAGATCCACTGCCCAATTTTTCTCCTTAACTTAAACTTTTCGCCAATCACATAATCCATAATTAATTTCCAAAATCGATAAAAAAATAAAATAAAATCTTTATTCCACAATTAATCACTCAATACCAAAAGCATCAAATCCTAGATTTCAAAAATACCCATTAGATCCATGAAATCATCATAGAAATTAAATCATCCAAAAACTCGAATAGTTCATTTATTTTGAGTTATCTAAAAAATCCAAAGAGTTGACAAATATTGTCCATGCCACCATTGCATTCCAAATATGGGGCTCTCCCCAATTAAAAAAAAAAAAAAAAAAAAAAAAACCATTGCCGTATCCTCCACTCTATGGCAATATCAATGTTTGCAACATATGGTAAAACGCTGCAAAAGTAAAGATTGTAAACAACAATTCAAAACAAAGTAAAATTGAGGCAATGGTTACAATATTCTAACTTTAAGAGGTCACTCTTTGATAAGAAAGGAAGAGTAATAAATCGAATTATTGTTATTCTAGTTACAAGTATAGCAAAGCAAAGCAAGTCTAACAATCCAACCTAGAGTTTTTTGAGGTCAAATTTTGATCCAAATATTATATCATATTGATGACGTTGAAAAATAAATAAGTTATATATTTTAAAAATAATTTTTATTTTATTATAAAAATTCGTAACATTATGGAGCTTAATATGAAATTTTATTTTCTTACTAAGTGAGTTCAAATAGCTTCTAAGTAAGGTCCATTCATTTCTTAAACCATACCCAATGAGGATGAGAGAATGGTGATCAAAATTTTTGATCAATAAACCAAGAGCTTACCACGAAACCTCCGCTCCCCTTCTCTTTTTTATGAATAATAAATAAGCTCTACTCTTTAAGAGGTCACTCTTTGATAAGAAAGGAAGAGTAATAAATCGAATTATTGTTATTCTAGTTACAAGTATAGCAAAGCAAAGCAAGTCTAACAATCCAACCTAGAGTTTTTTGAGGTCAAATTTTGATCCAAATATTATATCATATTGATGACGTTGAAAAATAAATAAGTTATATATTTTAAAAATAATTTTTATTTTATTATAAAAATTCGTAACATTTTTTGCTTATAAATTATAAAAAGTAACATAAAACAAATAAGAGTTTCTAATCTTAAAATATGAAACTATCAACATGATTTATTAACGTCATTTCCCACCCTTTGTGCGTCTTACGTATGTAAATTTAAACAAGTCTTATACTCTAAAAATAATGTGGTTAGGGGTCTAAACACGTATGTTGAAGTAACTTATGAGGGACTATCGACTTAAATACTATATTCGTTAAATTATGAGAGTGCCATGCTTTTGTCAAAATAATTACTATACATTTTTAAAATGGCATTTGGATAGATGATTCCTGTTTTTCTTTTGAAATAGTTTATTTGATGATAACGATGATGATGATCGATGAAATGGTTATTAAAAGAAGAAGAAATGCACCCAATATATCCTTCTCATGATGTTGACAAGAAGTTGACTATGTTGAGAATTAGAGATCTAACTCTATATCACGGAAAGCAATAAAATTACATAACGAAGATAAACACACGGAAGATTTATAGAAGTTCGTCTCATGTGAAACTATAATTCGCTATGCTAAAAAGAATTTTAAAAAAGAAAAATTCCACACTGTTTTCTATAGCTCTCTCTCTCTCTCTCTCTCAATTGATAATATATGTAAACCCTAATGACGACTTCCTATTTATAAGAAAAATTATAGTAATAAGTATGTAAACTCTGAAGTTGATAGGCATACGAAGTCCTCACAATCAGGGGCGGAGCCAAGAAATTCTTTCAGTTTTTTGTCATCGATTTAATGATGAAAAAAATATAAAACAATTTACAAAAATATTAAAAATGACATAGTTGATAAGTTACACTTATTCCTTGCGAAATTGTCATACTTTGATATCATTGTACAATAATTTCATTATCAATCTTAAAAAATGTATCTCATTAAAAAAATAGAATTTCTTTGGTAGGATATATTGGCTTTTTGTCTTACAAAAAACTTGAATATCTCGTTGTTACATAAAAACTCTATCAAAGATGGGAAGATAAAATTTTGATCGGTCATATTGCAAGTGCTTATTACACTTATCTTTAGCATACTAATTCAAAAATAATGGCAAGTGACCTTTCACTTATTCATGCACAGATAAGTGACTAAGAGTGACAAAATAGTTTATTTTTCAACAGTGAAAAGAAGATGAAGCTGTCTATGAATATGAAACAGCAAAGTTTATATTTAGAAATATAAAAAATGAATCAAATTACCTAAATAAAGCTCTCCAAAAGATCCACTGCCCAATTTTTCTCCTTAACTTAAACTTTTCGCCAATCACATAATCCATAATTAATTTCCAAAATCGATAAAAAAATAAAATAAAATCTTTATTCCACAATTAATCACTCAATACCAAAAGCATCAAATCCTAGATTTCAAAAATACCCATTAGATCCATGAAATCATCATAGAAATTAAATCATCCAAAAACTCGAATAGTTCATTTATTTTGAGTTATCTAAAAAATCCAAAGAGTTGACAAATATTGTCCATGCCACCATTGCATTCCAAATATGGGGCTCTCCCCAATTAAAAAAAAAAAAAAAAAAGGTGAAATGGAATGAGCAATGGCCCAAAGTTCAACAGGGGCACAATAATAACAATTAGACTCCACAACTTAAAAGCCTAACATTTGAAACGTCAACAATATGAACATATCATTACATTAGAAAGAGAGTAATTGATATAATTGACCTTTCTTAGTGGCTGATAAATGCAATTTGTGTATTTATTTATGTCATATTATTAAACTTTTAAGTTGTCAAATCATTAACTTTTATATAACTTAGGTTGATTTTCATTGTGTTTTTAGTGATGGGCTCGTTCGAAGCATTTGGAAAATGATAAATGATTAATTGGCCATTTGATGCAAAGTTTGGTGGCAAAAAATTTCTTACTTTGAAAAGTGGAGGACTTGAATTGAATCAAATAATACTTTGGTTGCAAGAATAAAAGGCCTCAATGACTTGAAGAATAATATAGCATTAATGGGTTTGAATTGGAGCCATTTTTTTTTACTTACCAATTGGCGGCTGGAAAGGGAATTGAAAAGAGTGAAATTTTACTTAAAATTGGAATCCTATTTTCAAAGTGGGTTGGTCCAATTAATTTACCGAGTTTAATTGGACTGCAAGAGAGGGTTGCTGGCTGCTATATCTATATATTCACTCTTATACACGCCAACCGGGAGGAGGAGGAGGAGAAAATACAAATAAGGCTGCTGGAATTGA